AAGGGGCCTTGGATGCTAAGCTGCTGACACCCATCAGGTATACCAGAGAAAGAGCTGCCCAGAGAACAGGTTGTGCCCCATGGCCACAGAACCCAGTGCAACTGTTAGACAGAGGAAATGGGAAACCAGAAAGATTGTCCTTCTGAGGTAAATGAGGGGAGGGCATGATTGACATGGAGCATTATGGAGAGCTTGAGATTTTTGAATACCATATGTGCAAGGAATGATTCCCTCACCCTCCTCTCCCTGTAGTTTTCTGCACCCTCTGAAAAGCCCACCTGGAGGGTAAAGCATTCAGGCCTTCTCAGTCATGGGGGAAGAGGCAGGGGCACAATCCCAAACTGAGCAAAGAGAGCTTCTGCCAACTGAGCACTGATGTTGATCCATTTCTCTTCACCAGGTATTCCCCCTGCCCTCACAAGGCGGGCGGGCAAGTGAAAGGACAAGGAGGGGATGTGATCTACAGGCAGGGGAATGATGAGGGCAGCCCCAGGTTCCTCTTTGGTTCCAAAGCCTCAGCGGCCCAGCCCTGGCAGAAGGGGCCTTGGATGCTAAGCTGCTGACACCCATCAGGTATACCAGAGAAAGAGCTGCCCAGAGAACAGGTTGTGCCCCATGGCCACAGAACCCAGTGCAACTGTTAGACAGAGGAAATGGGAAACCAGAAAGATTGTCCTTCTGAGGTAAATGAGGGGAGGGCATGATTGACAGGCTGACCGGCACTCTACACTGGACTTTTACATATTGCAAGATTTTATCACAGGTCTTATTTAAATGATCTGATTTGGGGCTGCTGACAGTGGAATTAGCTCTGGGAAAAGGGAAAGGAGCTGAATGAAACTGTTCCTAGGAGGGAAAAGGGGAGCGTGGATTCCCCCTTGTGATGCCCATCCAGGAAATGCTAGTTCTGACTTGCATTCCAAAAAACATAACTTGGCCAAAGATACTGTGTGTGCCCTGTGAGATGGAGACTTGTGCGAGGGCCACATGGGTGGCAGGAAAGGCCTGAGGAACCAATCATATGACAAGACCTTCTTTCTGGACAGGCTATTTACAAAACTGTGTCATGCAAAAAAATTCTGTGACATTTGTTTGAATGTTGCTGTTAAATATACACATGCTGGGTTGTTTATGGTGGCTATTGTTATTCTATTTAATAATTTGCCAGTTTCCCTCCATGTATTTATTTGGAATAGCTTAGGAAAGGAAGGAAGATATACAGCATGCCTCCGACATACTTGCCCATTCCCCATTGCACCCACTGGCCTAATTCCAAGGAACGAGGCATGGAGGAAAAGTAGCCTTTTAAATTGGATCAAATCAGGTTTCCTATGGAAAGCTGCAGTCACTGAAATGTAGATGCTCTCCCTGCACAGGTTCCTAGCTGTGAGAGTACAGAAGTGGGGCCGTTTATCTATGCTTCAAGCTTGCTAAGTTAAGTCAGACACCAGGGAAGCAATTCAAAATGGAAACTGTCTCCACAAGATGACATTTGATGTCCACCCACCCTTGGAAAGAGCAAACAAGAACATTTCTTTTTTAAATGGCAGGGAAGTGTTTTGGCTTACACAGGTCTTATTTCAGGCTTTTATGTTCAGGGCAAAGAAGATGGTAGATTTGGAATGCGTAAGCTGACGAGAGACAGCAAGAGAGAGAGTGACTGCAAAGCGGGAGTCTTCCCAAATGTAGCTCTCACAGCTGTGTCACACTACAATTTCCACCATACTTAGCCAGCATGGTGCGGATGATAGGGCTTGCAGTCTGACACATGTGGAGGGGATTAGGTCAGGTAAAGCTGCTTAATGATGTGCATCTCAGAAAAAGAAAATGCTTTTCTGCCAGCTGGCATGAAAGCAAAATAACAAAAGCTTGGATAGGCAATTTGTTTTTTGGTCAATTGGTAACCTTCGTTACATATAACTAGTCAAGCAGTTTTAATATCCATGGCCACAGTCTTATGGAAACAAGTCCGAAAGCAGTTTTCCCTCTTTTCTCCACTTCCTTGATGAATGAAACCAGTACTTACTGGTTGAATCTCCATTCTTGCAAGATTTTATGGAAAAGACTTTGTAGCACGTTGGGGAGGCAGGAGGGAAAAAGTCAGTGTTATCGAAGAGTTACTCTGAACTGTTCTACCAATTGAATCTTGCCTGTGCTTCATTCTTTTTCCATATAAAGGTTTCCTCAGCCTCCCCCTTGCACTCATACACACATCAAGCAAAGCACACTATTGTTAAATTGCAACAGCTGAATCATGTAACAGCAAAAGGTTATCAGGATTGTTCCAACAGGGTCCCTTGACAGAAGAGAACACAGAGAACAACTTCTGGTTAACATCCATGCTTAATGCTTAATTCCAAGATGCAATGGACAAAAAGATCTGGTTAGGACTAGCATAAAAATCTAAACTAGGAGTGAACAACCCCAGTCATGTCAGCCAAGTCCCATGGCCCACTAAAACCCGAAGTTTGGCATTCCAAAAAGAAAAAAGAAATCCTAACAGATCCTCCTCATTTTCAAGCCACCGTATCTTCCCTTGGAAACAGCCTGGCAGTCTTCGAATTGTTTTTTTCATTTGTAAAAGAAATTTTGAAATGGCATTTTTACTGTCAGGCCAGGATGCTCATCAATGGTCTGATTTTTCCATGGGCCTGAGCACCTTCAAGTTGCACATTTACACTTTGATGAAAATAAGCCAACAACTTAATGTGAGTCAGAGATATTATTGTTTATACGTCTTGTATAAACAATTTAGTACCCCAAATACTGTAATCATCCCCCTTGTATTTCCAAAATTACAGTTCTTCATCTTGGAACTGTACAGTTGGGGAACTGCGCAATCCAAGGAATTCTTGTTGAACTGTATAAAAAGGCTTCACTTGCTGAAGGCCAATATTCAAATCAAGGGCTGAGCTAAGAATTGGACATCCCCAGGGCTACGTCAAATGCTTTCTCAACTGGACCAAACCAGCTCTGGAACAAGCATTAGGGAACAGATGGAGGAGGCCTATTGACTTTCCCAGTTCCCAATTTTGAAAGGAAACACACACTTTCCTTTTTTGCTTCATGCTGAAGCCAGTGCTATAATATTGTATGTGCAGGCCTATTTTAGGATTTTAAGAAGCACTTCGTGCAATTTAAGCACCGACAATGAAATTGACAGCAGCCCATGAAATGCACCCCTCGGGACACGCAAGAAACCTCAAACGGCCGAGGGTTATGTAAGGAGAGATCACCCGACCGAATGGGTGGGAGGGGAGAAGCTATTGGTACCAAGATCGGGATTCATTTGTTCGAGTGGGGGGAATGGTTTATCTCATTCTCATAGTAACCCTCTGTTTTTAAAACTAGGCTACACTTTGAAAACAAAGATCTCATAAGGCACATTGGATTATACACTACAGGAGCGATCTCCTAAGCAAATTTGCAAATTATTGGTAATTTTTAAAAGGAACATTCTTTCCAAGTCTAGAGGACACTGTGTACCCTGAAAGGACAATGATAACTGCAACATTGTTGAATCACTTAATTTGTATGTCTCTAAATAAAAGGCTTATTAGAGGTTAGGGCACTTCTAAAATTAACACAGTTCCAACAGCCCACTTTTAGGAAGAATGGCTTTCCAGAGGTTAGGAAACTGGCTGCTTGCTCATAGGATGAATACCTTCTGGTGTCTCACCTCTTGTGTTCTCGAGGGTCAATAGCAAATACAGAAAGGTTCCACGCTCCAGCAAGCATGGATAGAAAATAATAGTCTATATTTTATTTATTCCTGTTTTACAGAGAAGCAAGAAAAAGGCTTGGAGGGAGGCAGAAATCTTGAACCTTGCATTCAAATCAGTCTATCCATAACCCTACAGATAATGCTAAAACACTCTACGTAGACATTCAGGAAACCAGATGTTAACTTCTAGCCATTACACATTTATTGTTGATCAAATGCAATCAAGTTAACATATATACAATTTCTGTGCAATGGGAAATGATTTTCCAGGCTGTGGCAGGGCAGGAGCCAACACACTGTTATTGAATTAGGCTCATTTGCCTCTAGTAAAGGTTTCCACTGCATTCTGAAGCTTTCAGCAGAGATTGATATTGCTAATAACCGCAACTCTCATCAATTCCAGTACTTATAATTTTCTTCAGCTAGGTCAGGAGCACCTTTGCAGCCAATGTTATCAAGGATTCTGTATAGCAACTTTCCTCTGTCTAATGAGGCTGTTAGAAAATGTCAAAACTTATTCACAACTTTGAGATCTGCCCTAGTATTATGATTCTAAAAAGCTTTTATTACTGGATTATAGAAAATATTTTGTAATGGGCCAATGATTGCATGTGCAGTCTAGGTTATGCGTACTCAAGGGATAAAATGCGAGTTCTTCTCAAACTGCTTTTCTTCTCTTTATGTACCTATGTATTTTCCCTAGTGCAGCCAATAGTAGCTGGAGTCCGTGGGGAAATAGCATCTGGGAAAAGCTTCCCCCACTCCTGAGCCACTGGCTCAGGGGGTCATGCAGCTGGATTTAAATCAAAGCTGAAGTGCTGGATAATTTGATCAGTGTTCTCCCACCTATCATGTAGCTTGTTCTTCAGCAATACATAGAATAATGTCTCTGCACTAGAAAATTAGAATGCTTCCAAAGATTGAAGTTTAATCAATGGCACTGAACTTAAGCATCAAATTGGAAGTAAACGTACATAAGCATGACACACATGTAACACAGACTAGGAAGAGAAAGGTATGAGTTTGTTTTCAATTTTAGGAACAAGCAATCAAATCATGAACATTTGTTTGCCCTTGACTTCTGCTTAATATCTTTATTACCCTCTTTTGTTCTCCATTTCATATTTTCTTGTCCCTAAACTTTTTAAACATATGAATACAGGATGGCAGGTGTCAAGGATAATGAGTAGAGCTGAAGGGCCTCAAAATCTAAACAACACTGGACGTGAAATGTCTCATTCTCTGTTTCTCTTTGAAAGGAACTGTGTGAACAGTGGGTTGTTTTATTATTTATTAATGACATGTGTAAATAATACATATACTGTATGCAATAAAAATAAAATTTAATATTTCTATTTTAGTGGGATGGGCAGGAAAAGGGCAGGTCAGGTTAAAGCTACTATCAACATACTTTCCAACAGGGCTAAAAAGTATTAAGCGCCATCAACATTTTTTTAGGCAGCAACTCCACCCAAAGCTGATTAAAAGCAAAAAAAGCGCATTCTGAGATTCTGTTATCAATTTCTAAGCAACTGGGCAACCAGATACCTGGAATTATTCCAATCCAGCATTCCATGGAATTTTTTTGTAGACAAGATCCAAGGTAATAAATGGAAAATCTACAATTTTGTTCATAGGGGTTGCATTTGAGAAGAGCTCAAAAAACATGTGGAATCAATTCAAACTTAACACAAAATCATTTTGTCCTGCTACAAGGAAGAGTCACGGTGAACTTTAGGCTCACCAAGTTTTCGTTCTCTTTTTGCATGCAGCTGGATGGGGAGAATAGAAACATCTGCCTTCTTTTTTTAAAACTAACCAGTTTTCTACCATATCGAAAGCCAGAGAATTGTTATTTGTTTAAACTATAGTTAGTAAGAACAAGACTAAATCTGCTCCTATGGCTTGATTCTGGCTTATTCTAATCATAGTTTAAACAAACCACATTTCTCCCAGTTATCAACAGGAAACGGGGGTTAGTTGAAAAACAGAAGTGAGCGCTTCTGATCTCCTTTGCACACATGAAAGGAGAATGGAGGTGGAACACATAGGCCAGATTGCTTACTGGAAACCACAGCTGCTCATTCTGGCTAAACCGAGCCCAAGTTTCAGTATAAGATAATCATGGAATAAATGAGAAGGACACTTTAAAGATGAGGGCAGTACTTCGGAATAAGACAGTATAGAAAGGGAGACAATAATTTAAGGCTTCTGCACTCACATTGCAAAAATCAAGTTACTAAAATAGCCCCATTATTGTCTACTTGTGTACACAATTATGCTGAGTCAGAATTATGAGTACTTAATTAGAGGAGGAACCCACATAGGTAGACATCTGAGTAGACAATATTCTTCAGTGTTTCAGATCTATCTCAGTTTAACTGAAAAAGAGGTCACTTAGTTAAAATGTACCTATTTTTTCTTTGAAAGGCCTCAGACGTGATTCAGATCACCAAAATATGTTGCATGTTGGCCAGCGATCACTTTGTTCAAAACAAGATGGAAGACTATTATGGAAAGCCCATAGAAGGCATGTGGTCCAGGTAGTTATTACCACTGGTAATCTGCATTTGTTATCACTTTTTAACATTTAAATTGCTGCATGAGAATTAGTGGAAGAGCATTTGCCATGTTTTGAAATGGAGACAATTCAATTAGACCCCCACCCCCAGACCATGGGCATTTACTTGGAAGAAACTTCCATCCATTGATTTCAGTGGATGCATTAACAGATGCTTATGAGTGATCCCCTTTTCACATGTCACCTTGCCAAACCTTGACGGGTATTTTATTTATAGCTTTTATAGACTGTCCATCTACTGGCGTCTGGGGATGGGTTACAACGCTGATGGGGAGTGCATCAGTGCAGTAAGATGGCCCTTTTTTAGATGCATAATTGTGTAGTACCAGACCATGTGAGGAACACTGACATAAATTGTATGGAAAAGTTGATCACATGGATTGAGACCTGTCTCCTCCAACCTGGTACCCTACAGCAGTTTTGGACTATAGCTCCAATCAACCCCAAGCACTGGTCATGTTGGCTGAGGCTGATGGACACCAGGTTGGAGTAAGGCGACTCAAATGACCAAACATGTATATTTTGTGCATTTTGCAGAAATCTGGTGCATCTCTTACCGGTGAAGGGGAGGAGAAAAAGATGTACATAAGTCACAAGTAATATGCATCGTACCGCATAACAGGAATGTTTAAGCTGGGGGTCTACAAAGAAGATGAAGTTATGTAAGCAGCTCAACATATCAGGATACCCCTAAAGTGTGCATTGAGTAGGCATGTCACCTTTAAAAAAGGCCTTATGTGCAGATTCTGCTAATTCAGCAATACTACAGATGTTTCTGGAATGCACTGTATCATTTTGGAAGACCACAAGATTGAAATTGCTTGTTTGCACGGGCAGAGGGCACCTTTTAAAAGCAAGTATCAAAAGAGGCACACATTTCCCACTATCTACCAGCAGAACCCATCATCCTACAGTCCTTTTACTGTTTCCAGGTCACCTTCTTAGAAGAGATCTCTCGTTTGGCTCCTCCCACTTCTGCTTAGTCAATTCCTTTGAGTTGTCCTTGACGAGAAGAAACTCTGCCCCTAGTGGTGAAAACCCCCATCCCAACAAGCACCAACTGGCTGCCTCACTTTCCTCCCACCCTCCCCATCTCCAACAAAAACAGATGGCTTTAGCAGCATGTGCAGTTGTGGAATCCAGTCTACGCACTCTGGAGTAGAGAGGTTTCTAGCTAATATAGCTGCCAACCATCTCAGTATCAGACTGCCAGTTTTGCAGGGGGAAAAACCTATACAAAACAGCAATACTTTTTCCACCAAGACTTGGAGAGGTTTTTCATTTTGTCTGGAGTCCTGCTCTTTGATTTCTTGGGCTGTTGCTGGGTATCCGAGTACTGAATGCCAGCAACAATGGCTGCGTCAAAGACTTCTTTGAGGTTTTTCTGAGTCAAAGCGGAGCACTCAATGTAAGAGGCAGCCTTTATTTCCTCAGCACAGAGCCTCGCGGCCTCCTCTGCTACCGGCTTTTCTTTGCATTTGTCTAGCTCAATGAGGACTTTGACATCCTCCCGCAGGTCCGACTGTGTCCCGACAAGAATAATGGGTGCTTTGGGGCAGTGGCATCGGATTTCAGGAACCCACTTCTCGCTCACATTCTGGAAGGAGGAAGGGCTCACGACACTGAAGCACAGCAAAAAGATATCTGTGTTGGTGTAGCACAGGGGCCGGAGCTTGTCAAATTCATCCTGCACAAAAGCAAAAGCAACATGAATGTCAAGAGACAGTCGCTTCGGCAACAAGGATGCATTCAATGCTCCAAGAGGCAAATTGTGGGAACGAAGTTCAAAAATATATTAAGAAACTATTGTGTTTACTCAGGTATTCCTCCTTTTCTCGAAGGGATGGATTACAAATCAGTGCTCACAAATCTACCTGGGATAATTCTTAAAATATAGCAAGTAGACACATGTTGTTATTCCTGCAAAGCAGCCTCCCCCACACTGCTGCTCTCTGGATGTGTTCACTGCAACTCTCATTATTACTGCCCAGCCAGCACTGGCCCAGCTGGCCAAGTTATGATGATCAGAGTTGTAGCCAGCACACCTGGAGGGCACCGGGATGGGGAAGGCTGCTCCACTGTACAACTGTAGCAGATTTATAGAGCACAACCACATTTTAAGGAGGATGCTGGGAAGCAGCCCCTGTGGGATGCCAGAAAGCAACAAGGAGCAACATCCTTGAATGCTGCCCTATGTCAAAAAATGTAAACATCTATTCCTTCCACACTGAAAGCCAGCAAACTGGAAGCACGTTTGAGGCCAGCACTTGGCTCTGTGACAGGAAAGCTTTCCACAGCTGAAGGGTTTCTTGACATGGGACATCGTTCAGTCATGTAGCCCATCTCCTGCATTAGGAAGTGAAACAGTCCCAGATAGAGATCTGAAGACTTAGGAAACACCCCAAATTCTCTCCCGTTTTCCCCCAAAAGACTTCTTAAAAATGGAGAAAAGCATTTTCCTAAAAAACATTCTGATTCCCACCTGCCCACAATTTCTCAGTTTTTTTCTGTAGCCCTTCACATTCCTGGTCCCAAAAGGTCCATCCCATATGATTCTGCTCAAGAAGTGATTATGTAATAAAAACAGAATGTGCAGGTGTGGCTTCTGCTGACAAAGACAAATAAGAAATGGAACCAGCACAAGGGAAAGCAGCTTAATATTTTCATCGTAGAAAAGCTCCTTCCTCAGAGATTACTGTTGAGTTTGGTTCCATTTAGTATTTTCTTGAGCAACCCTGGGAGGGAAGTGGTAACATTCTGCTGGTACTTTCAGATGGCATGACTCTAGGATGCATAAGCAAGACTGGAAGTTAGGTGAGGTGAATCAGATGGACTATGCAGATGGAAGTGACACACAGGTGAGGAAAAGGAATACTAAAACCCTCAGCAAAAGGCAAAAAAGAAGGAAGAACTTTACCACCTGGGTTTCAATAGCTGGAAAAGACTCATACAGATTTCTCATCTAATCACAGAGTGACAGTAAAGGGTCAGTGAGATGCAGTTGCAAGGAAAGGAAAGGAAAGGAAAGGAAAGGAAAGGAAAGGAAAGGAAAGGAAAGGAAAGGAAAGGAAAAAGGAAAGGAAAGGAAAGGAAAAGAAAAGAAAAGAAAAGAAAAGAAAAGAAAAGAAAAGAAAAGAAAAGAAAAGAAAAGAAAAGAAAAGAAAAGAAAAAGAAAAGGCAATTCTCAGATGTTTGAGGCTGTGCTGAGGCCAAATCAAACATGCTGGCCACAATTCAGAAAAGAGTTAGATGGCCTTAAAATGGAGGTACATCTTCCCCCCAAATAGGGGAAAAAACTTGATAGCAATATGTTCTCAGTACCAGACTGGAAGAAAAGTATTTTTCTTGATGTCTGAAGCACCTCTGCTGCCAGTGATCAGGCCCAGTTGCTTAGTCCCCCGTGGCCAGTAGGAAGCATTGTAATTTTGTTTCTCTGCTTGAGGCCATTTGCTGATGGTCATCTATGTTCAAAAAATCTTTGCTCAACAAAGATTAACTTGGACTGAACTAAATGCAATGATGAAAAATGACAGAGAACTTTTCCTCTCAGCAGAGACTGAGGCAGCTTCGTTTGCTTAACTGAAAATTTTACAGATATACCAGAGAACGTAAGAAAGTAGAAAGAGGGGATCTGATTTCCAGCCCAAATATATCAGTTTATAACTGCAAAATTTTAAAAATGGAATTAGAACAAGCCCAATTCTGAGAGGCGCAACATTGGAGAGCTAAAATCCTCACCACATCCAAAGTAGAGTTGCAAACATGTATGAAAGATATCCCATGTTTTCTAGTCTGGTCCGTTGTGAAATTGGTGGAGTCAGGAATGTCCTAAGTATCATCTTATTTTGCAGCTCTTTTCTAGGGCTCTTGAGGTTGTGTGCGATGTGAAGGGGGCTCCTAAAACCCTTATCCTTGAGAACACAATGTATATTTTGTGTATCTTCAGGTGCTAATTCTAGATTATCAAGGACTGCCTAGTTAATCTCACACCAGTTGGACTAGTGACTTTAAAACTGGGAAGCCAATTTCCAATTGCCAGCATGTAGCTGAGAACTCTTGTTTATCTCAAGGGCTTTTTTGCTCTTTGAGCACCTGTTCTCTGCTTGTGGCAATCTCTGTGGTGCGACTACTTCAGGACAACCTCTCAAGGAGATGACATGGGGCTGAGGATACTGTTCTAGAGCCTAACCCTTTTGATCTCTTTCAGCTCCATGCAGTTCAGGTCAAGCCTTATTTATCTGAGTGGTTTACTGGCCCCAAAGAAGAGAAAAGGTCGTGGATTTGGTTAACTAAGGGATTCAGTTAATCAAGACACATTTGATGACAATTTGAGCAGAAAGCAAAGAAAAAGTCTAGCACAAACCAATCCTAATCATGTAGAAACCATTGGGATTTCATACATCCCGCCTGCTGTTTTGAGTTCATATTTATTGTGGCCACCCATTTTAATGAGCTACGCTTGACACACTTCACATGCCATGCATAAAGAACTAGCTAGAGTCCCACTGCCCCTGTGCTACCTGCCTCCCTCCTCATCCAACTTCCCACCTCACCCTGTCCAGCATCTCCTCCCATAGCACACTGTACAGAGCAATGCTTGCAACATACACCCAGCTGCTCCAAGAAAGGAGAATTGCTAACAGAAACCACAGCATTCGCCACACAGTGCTCTTTAAGATCAGAGAAGTTTCAAGGTGAGGAAAGCAAACAGAGGGAAAGATTATCGCCCTGCGTTCATGCTGGCCTGCTAGACAGACAGGATTTGCCTCGGCTGCAGTGGCATTTTAATTAAAATTCAGCATGTTTCTCGGAGGGTCTTAAATTAACAAGTGCAAACAGCAAGCACAATCTGAAATGCCCCCGCCCCCCAGTGCCCATGCTTTGTTGCCAAATGAGCATATTTTTACTTGGAAAGCTTTTGAAGAGACGTAAGATGTGCAGCTCTTCCAAATGCACTTCAAGGAACTGAATCAAGCCCTTTCCACTCGAATACGTTTCTTTTCAGGGGCACTTGCAATGGGAGGCAGAGGCTGGCAAGGCAAGAGTCAGGAAAGTAGGCTTCATTCAGTCGCTTGTTTCGCAGGCTTAAGCCCTCAGGAAGCGAGGCAAGAGCCAAAGACTCCCATCACTTGGCTCTGTTGGCAAGAGTTTGATCTGAAGCTTGCGGTTCCACACTACAGCTGTGTGTGCCTTCAAGGACTCTACTGCTACAAATATTTGTGCAATTAGGGCTTGTTTGCATGATCTCATTGCCAAAAGTAACAATTGTCACATGGATGACGTCTGATGCTTGGCACTGGAATGAGTCTGCACAAACAAGGAGGAAACTCAGAGGTGAGGCATGTTAGAAGTGGGAAAGAAGACCCCGAGATAAGGGCTCCTTTCTCATCACAAAGGGCTCGTTTCTCATCTCTTATTTGCAGCTGACACACTGCAGGAACAACAGACCAAAGACCATGATGGATTTAGCAATCATGGCTTCAGCAGGCCCTGTGCAAAAGATGGAGAGAGAGGCCACTAGGCTCCACGGCCCATCTGTTGCCTGCCACTCAAATGTTCCCTCTCAGCCTGGGCCAAAGAAGAAGTCTCCACATTTCAGAGGAGGTCACTTTCAGAAAATGAAACTAGGTCACCTAGCATGAGAAGACAGCGCCATTCATGGAGGTGTGACACCCAATGGCCCCCCATGGTCACCTGAGGGGCAACGTGAGATACAGCTGCTGCAAATGAAAGGTCTTTCTCTTCTTTCTCTGCCTCACTAGCCACCTCTTCCTGTGGTAATCACAATCCGCAGCCCACAGAGGAGCAGTTGCAATGCTGATCCTTCTTGTTCCTACACGGTAACTGAGAAACTTCGGCAAACAAAGCCTCACTCAGAAAACAAGGTTCTTGCTCCCAGGGGCTGCTTCCGCATGCACCCAGACACCCTGTGCCACCTTGGGAAACTGCCCAGGAAGCAGCCATGTTGCAAGGGCTCACATCCAAGGTAACAGAAGAAGCCAGTTACATGGAGGAGCACACCTAGGTCCAGAAAAGGAGGATTAATCATTTGCCAAAGTGGGGCCAATTAAAGCTATGGGATGGCTGCAAGGCGCCGAGTGAAGTGGTGAGAGGACTCGGACTGGGCAGCTTCCTCTCATCACCACCACATCTCTTTGCAAAGGGTTAGGACCGCCTAATGGTTTAAGTAGATGGCAACTCGCATTTTTTTCCGGTCACTGCAGAGACACACACACACAGAGTACACAACCCATGTAGGGCACCACTTCCCTAAGTCGTCTTACGGACCTGGCCAGCGGTGTCACAGAGCTGGAGCCTCACCGGTCGGCCATCCACAGACACAACAGCTGAAAAGGAAGGGGAAGGGAGAACCATTATTATCCACAAATGAAGAATTACACCTTTCTTCACATTTCCAATTTGAGCAACTTATTGTGATCTAACCACCTAAGGAGCTCAAAGGCTCTCTTCTCCTTTGACTCCTGGGGCTGCATAAGCCCTTAGGGCCTTTCTCAATACATCACACTCCAAATGCAAAAGTAGCAAATTGCTGAACGATGACGACTCTACCTTCCGTAGTGGTGCAAAAAAAAAAGCAGCTGTCCCAAACATCCAAGCTGGGGTTTCCCCTCTCACCCCCCTCAACTTGCCTGAGGATTGATTTTCTTGTCACGTTTGTGTTTTCAAAGCCCAGCCAGGGCACAAAGGGAACCCACCCACCCTGGCCCTTCCTTGCTTTAAATCACAGAGAAGACAATGCAAATATTTACATGTTTTCCCTAGGGAAGCTCTTCTTCTTTCCTCAATCCTTTCAAATCTGACTAGCGAATTTATCATTCCAGAGAAACTAGCTTGATACAAGTACCACGTGCAATCCCTTACTGTCTATGAGGCCATTGTTAGGGTCTCTCCATTATTTAAGAGCAAAATACATTTCTTTTTGGGGTTTTCTGGGTTTGGTGTCACCGCCCCCCCACAACTGGCCCACAACATTTATTGTTTTCACGAGGATTTGCTGTATCAATTTGCAACATTGCAGGGAAAATCTGTGCCCTTCAGGTATTTACTTCAATTGGCGACATTTAACAGCTACAAAGCAAATCCACTTTGCAGTTAAAGCATGGCAAGAACATGCCCTGGGAAGAAAAAAGAAAGTCTGAAAAACTACAGCAAAGCCGAGCATTCAGTCAGAACTACAGCTCCCTGAACTTAACTCAGGTCCTCCAACTCAAGACTGTCAGCCGCTGCACACTAATCTGGGAGTAATTCCCATTGAACTAAATGGCACAGTGTCAGGTATGCATGCATAGGACTGGGTTACACATCCAAAAGAAACAAAGCCGCTTTAAACTAGATGGAGAGCACCTGAAGTATTTATGTCTCAAAGCCCCAATACCTCATGGCTGATGCAGGGCCACATCACAACAAATGAGGCATCCCTGCATCTCCATGCGTATTTTCTGTGTATATCATTTGAGTATTTTTTGCAATGCTTAAAGGGCATGCCCTTCTTTGAAAGGACCTCCTCAAAACCCCTACAGGAGTAGCAAGTGACTCCCAGTTGCAGGCCTGTGTTCAGCATGTGTTTTCAGACACAGAAGTGTCCTTGAAGTGCTAGAGAAGAGACAAAGTCATCATGGGAACACACGGGCCTATCTTTTGTGTAAATGGGATGAGGCACTGAAAGAGCTCTCTCAAACAGTGGCCCGGGAAGGCTGACCTGTTTAACAGATACTATTCTAAAAACTGGGGAGTTGTGCAGGCTCTATGATTTTCTAGAAAGTCAGTGGAGCTATAAGGAAAATGGAGGAAGAGGCTTACTTTCCTTCCCTTCTGAACCCCTTCTAAAGGGATAAGGATTATTAGATTAGATATCCAAGAGGATTTGCGAGATGATTTGCAAGAGGATAGGAGGGTGTGATATTATTTAATTTCTAGCAAAATAAGGGACAGCACTATCCATAGGCACAGCACATTCTGTATCGCTTCTCCAATCTAGGGATCACACCACAGCCATAAAAAATACCTTGTCCTATGTTAAACAAGGTTAAAATAAACATACGCTGCCAAGAGTAACTCACACCCTACAAAAGGTGCCCCCCAAAATGCTAGCTGGAATTCTGAGGAACCTGGTTGTATTTGTTGCCAAGTTTCCTTCTAGCCTTCAATGTTTAAAACTGCTTGGAAAATATTATAGCAATAAGGGTGAAATAGAGCAGTAAGGGGTGGCAGCACTGCACTGCACAGCACTAGCACACGGCAGCTGTAGTCCACTGAACACACCGGGGCTTCCCAGAAAACATGCAAAGGATGGGGCTGAAACTCTGTTGTTTCAAAGTCCAGGTTCAGAACTGCAAGAGGCGTGTGACCTTACAGAAAACAGCGTGGCTAGCCCCGTATTCGAAACTGTGGCTTGGCACACGGGAGGCCCATCCTGGCCAATCGTGGGTACGCGCCCCTTGGCGGAAAGAGTTCATCTTGATACCGGCGGTGTTCCCTTTCTTTTCGACCAAAAAAGGCTGAGCAAAAATTCCGGCTGGGGTTGCTCTCCATGCAAGATAGAAAGCGGCTGGATTCGACGCGTCTAAGTCGCCCAGCCTTTGAGCCTCCGATTTACGAAGCCCCTCCCCGCAGCAGACGGAGGCCCATTCATAATTCCAGCGTCGTCAGCTTCCCCATCCGTGGCAGCTCCTCTCCAGCAGCATCCCACCCCGACGCCGCCCCGCTTTCTTTTAAAACGAAGCGAGACCCAGGCAACGGCGTGCTCCCTACCGAACTTCGTTTCCAAGAGAACCGCCTCTTTTCGAGTTGGAAGATTTCAAAGCCATCCAGGAGGCCCGTGAAGGGAGAGGGGCGTGTGCGGCGGGGTCTGCTTCTTACAAGAGACGCACGCACCCAAGCCGGAGCCACGATCCGACGCCCCGCAGAGAAGTTGGACTACAGCTTCCAGCATCCGCAGCATGTGCGCTGGTTGCGACTGATGGCGGGTGTAGTCCACCTGCCTCTGGGGGGCGCCGGGTTGGGAGGGGGCCATCGCAAGGTCGAGGAACCGCCCTCCTTGCCGATCCCTTACCTGAGAAATTGTCGAAGGCGGTGGGGATATACTCCGTGGGGTACCCGTTGGTGGTGTAGCTCACTACCAAGCTGGTCTTGCCAACCGCGCCGTCGCCCACCAGCACGCACTTGATACTGCGCCGGGGTTCGGCTCCAGCTCCGCCGGCGCCGCCGGCGCCAGCACGACAGCGGCTGCCCAAGGCGGCTCCTAGTGCCGCTGCTCTGCTGCTGCGGACCCGGCGCGGCGGCACCGGCGGCACTTCGCAGCCGCCCGGCAACGGCTTGCTGATATAGCCGGCTTCGCCTTCTTGCTGCTGCGGCGGCATCCGCCTGGCTCCACTGCGGGAAAGCCCAGAGGACAACGTGGTACGCGGAGATAGAGCCACTGGCGGCGGCGGCGGGCGGCGGCGGGAGCGCAGGGAAGCAAGTGGAGAGCGGGAGCGGAGCGGATAAGAGAGCGATCTTTCCAGACGGAAGCGCCAAGTTCCCTGCTTCCCGATCCCGCGCAGGAGCGGCACTCCCGATCTTCTCGCTGCGTCTCCGCTTTTGCAGCCGGCCCCGAGGCGAAAGGATCCCCAAGCCAGAGACGTGCTCCCCTGCCTTGCTTCTACGGCGCTCTCCGCCGCACAATGTGCAGACTGCTACAGCCGACCGGGCGGTCTGCTGCTGCCAGATGACATAATACAGAAAAAGACGGAGCGAGCCGTGGAGGGCGGAGCGGATGGGCGTGGGAGGAGCCCGGCGCGGAGGAGCCTGCCGGCAGGTGGCGCTCGCATCCGGCTCCGATCTGCCCAAAGCTCGCTCGCTCGCTCGCTGGCTGCACGCAGCAGCAGGCGCCACAATCTCTAGACTGACGGCATGGAGTGCTTGACTGCGTTTGGGGGCGCTTTCCCATTGGCCAGTCTGCTTCCTTTTCAAATGCTGACGGCATGTAGAATCACGTCTATTGGCTGGACAGTTTCACGAGGCTACCTTTCCCGCGCCGCCCGAGGAGGCTGCTCGTGATCCTTAGGTCCCTCCCTCGTATCGGTGCGTTACCCAAGTCCGTACGGCTTCCTACGTGTCCTAAAACTTTGATGTCTTTCTTTACCCGCACCTCCCAGCTCTTTCCAGCTGTCCCCTGCTTGGAGGACCCTTCTTTTCTCCCCCGCCTCTTCTAGAGCTCTTCTAGTGCCGCCGGATAGATCCATCCTGCCGACAATCAGTCCATCCTCCAAACACAAGGGTCGTGTGGTACGTGAGCCACAGGCCTTTCTGTGTCTTTAGAAGATTCCAGGCGCAGTCTTTCCACTGACATCAGTGGAAAGGCCTTTTAAAGCTGGATTGACTTGTGGGGCACAGGGAGGGAAAGGTTACCTTTTCGTGAAGCAACTGATTCCCTTAAAACCTCCCCCCAGGCATGACAGCTGTGCTGAAGAAAACAAAGCAGAAACCTTCCCGTTGGTCACAGAGGGCATTTGGAGTTCTGGGAGTCAATCCCCAGCTGGCTTAGAGCTCCACGACCCAAACCTGAAAGGCTTAACGCGTGTATTAGAACATTTGATGGAGTCCATGGAAGCTTGCATCATAATGGACGAGATAGTCTTCTACGAAGAAGACCCCTTGTTGTTTTGGGCGATTGATTACTAAAGATCATAAATACCTTTCCCGCTGCAGTGATTGATCAGGTAGCTTAGGTGCTACTGAGCTGAGAAATTCTACAATAAAAGGACAGAATAAAGGGGTGGGGAATGACTGTCATCACAGTAATAAGTAACTGGCAACTCTCCATGTCCTGGAGACTCCCCCCCCCCTTGTATGTATGCACACATGCACAGAGTATGCCTAAATAAACCTGCTTCTCTCCGGCCATTCCTGCCTGTTGCCGTCCTTTCCCTCCCTTTCCCCTGAAGGCTTAGCTGCAAAGCTGCCTAATCTTATCAAAGCTCAGCCTGTTCCACAGAGGGAGACCAACTTTCTTAGTCCATTTATCAGTATGAAGTAGTGAGCTTTTGTGCTATGAATGCCATTGTTCAGAGTTAAGAAAACAAGACAACCGTGGTTTTATTCCTTCATGTACTTTGGCTTTATGTTTAAGAGACATAGACTTACTACAGAATGTGAATGGGGTCACCTAAAATACTCAAGTTTTCAGAAAGTAGGAGATAACATTATGGGTGAGTTCTAAGCAGAAGAGGCTACTTTGCACATGCAGTCTAAAAGTTCATGAAAACAGATGGGATCAAATGCAAATGCCTGTGTGCTAGGATTCCTATAATAATTGTTAACCAATCGCCTGATCCAGTATTTCCACCCTATGCGGCAACTGTTCCCGTGGCTTGTGTTTGCAACATGTAAATATCCTTCAAACTTTACCAATAAAACTTCTGAATTACTCTTATGACACTGCATTTTGTTTGTCTTTTGAGAAAGCCAAGGCAACTTACATAGGTCCATTTTAACCTCACAACAGCGACAGCAACCTTGTGAGGGAGGTTGCGCTGAGAGTGAGCAACTGACCCAAAGTCACCCAATGGCTTCATGGCAGAATGAGGACAGAAAACTGACCTCCTAGTCCCCAGTCTGACTTTCTAACTACCATGTCCCATATTAAAATCCCTAAGAGGTTCACAGTAAAATACAAGGTAACGATAAGAACAAGAAAAATACATAATTTAAAGTGCTAAAAACATACAGCACATTAAAAGCAGGACAGAAGCATATACTCTGGCTTCAATTTAAAAAGTATACATGTTTGACTTGTTCATGCCTTTTCAAATTTGGAATATGAGCATGCATCCATCCCTCTGCGGTTGTGCTGAATTGTAATATGCTCGCCTTTTGTTGATCAGGTTGATCAAGTTTCTTGTTTGGTGCAAAAGAACAAGAAGGAATCCTAGTTAAACAACATGTACTATGATGGCAAATCATTGGCAACAAGATGTTCTGTTACTCCTTGAGGCCTAATTGTAAGTACATGCTGTAGCATTGACTTGTGAAGATTCCTGAATATCTGAGCTTCTGGTTAAGCTATCTGGATGAAAGATATGAAAACAGCGACTTGAACAGCGTCCAATAAACCTCTTAAGGCACAATCCAATGCTTCCCACGTCAAATGCAGATGAGCCTTGGGGGTGGCAAGAGCGCTGTGCCATGCCTCATTCTGTGTATTTTATATAGGCTACTTTTGGCCATCTGGATTAACAGTGGAGGGGAATGGAAGCAGACTGGGGCACCAGAGGGAATCAGTGTAGGAATCAGCCCCAGCTTCATCCCCTACCCACCCCTCCGCATGCCCCTTTGCTCCCCGCTGAAGCCCACTTCTTTCCATGCCAACTGCAGGAGGGGGGCTCCCTAGCACAGTTCTGGGATCTCGGGGCCTCGGAGCTAGAACTCCAAATACATGATGTCCCCCTAGACCATGTTGGGAGGACTTACCATTGCACCGTTAATTAGTTTGGGGTTTTCTTCTTGAATGGTGATTTGTTCTGAAATGAAGCAGATTTTCAAAGATACATGGGATATGTGCTATTGAAATAAAGAGTGAAAATTCTGACAGGTAATGCTGAAGGTAGCTCTCCAGATCCTGGCCACAGGTTAGAACTTGTATTTTATTTCAGTCCTGGGCTCAGCTGTGAACCACAACTACCCATTGATTTCAGTGGGATTTACAACCATGAAATTAGGATTACAAAATCAAAGTCAAGGCCAGATCCAACAGAACTTCCTTAGTTCTCCTGGAAATTAGTAGCATCTGTTAGAACTCCTGGTCAGTGAGTTGCATGGATCTGTTCCACATTCCAGTTTCCAAGATTACCTTGAGAGGCGTTTTGCACCTGTTGGCCTTCATGGACATATTTATCACTCTTTGCAACTTAGACTGTGCAGAGACAGCACAGTATAAATGACTGAATAGAGAAGTTATATTAGGATCTTTCGTATCCCCATATGGGGATACATTCATATGATTGGCACCAAATTATAAAGACACTTCTTACTCCAAATTCCAATTCTATCAAATTATGATCTTTGCAGTTGCTGAAAATTCAAACAAAAATCAGTATTGCCTAGCACAACTGGCATGCTTCTGCTGACGTTTTTACATTCATGGTGAAGTCAAGGTTTTCTGCAGTTTCTAGAACTTACAGACCATGGACAGATGAAAACGTAGGTAGCTTTGCATATTTGTGAATGTGTGTCTCCTGTTTATCTTTTGAATTCTAGCACTGTTGTGCTCTAAGGGAACTCATGAATGATATGCCACACCATGTTTGATTTGAGAGTTGGCCCAACAAAAATCACTGTTTCTCTTTGCTGGGTCTGTGCAAATTTGGTCAAGTATTGCTGTTTGAACAATAAGTATACCAGATTATTTTTGATGCTATAGAAACATAGATCTAGAGTACATATTTTGAGCTTTCCAATATTATTCATTTTTTTAAAACTTTATGATCCTTCACGGTCTTTCCTTAATTAGCTCATGCTTTGCTACTGTTACAGGGAAACAGAACCAATCTTTTGTGACATCTCTTTACTTGCTTTAAATACACAATTGTGTTTTAAATATTTTGTGGAAGCAGACCATTAGCTCTATTTTCTTGTATATTAGTATTCTCTTAGTTATTTATTTATCATAAGGTACTACTTCAAATATGTATTTGATTTATCAAGAATTTTGCTTGAAGGTTTGATATTTTCATGTGCCAGTTCTTCTGATATTCCCAGATGGAAACAATCTGGCCAGGCAGTTTTAATGTGTTAAGAAGTTGCAGCATAGCTTCTAGTGCAGTAGTTTTCATTTCTTTGCATATATTTATATTAGCCCTCCTTTGGTTCTTGACATTGTTCAGTATTCTTTGCTAAAAATTTAGACAAACCCTTCAGTCAGTATATTCACATTCAAAGCATAAGTTGCATTACAGCTAGAATGCATGACACCCCCTCTGGCCCATTACCAAATGTTCTGTGGAAAGGCTTCACTTTATCTTATTCACATATGTTAGTTAAACATTATTCCTAGAGTAATTTTATCTTGACATGAAATAGCCCATTGTAACTTCCACGTTTATCCTTGTCATTCATATGAGAAAATATGAACTTGATACTGTAATGATGATGTGAAAATGGACTTTAAGTCTCTACAGTAAGATATCTGTATTAGTTGACATCTTGGCTTCCATCTCAGCAGGATTCTGGTAACAACCCTTTCAGGCTGTTTCGATAATACAGAGTAAGGAAGTGTGCTTCTAAAATTATCCTTGAGGTACACTTTTACCCAGAATTCAGATTTGTTTTCTTTTGGTGCTAGTCATTGCTTCATGTCTCATGGCTGAAAAGAAAAATGAGGAACATTTCTTCACAGACATAGTTTTTGTCCAGTTGACCTTCTGGATAGGCAATGCCTGACCATAAACAAATTCTACCCACAATTATTCCTCTTGCATTTTATATAGAAAAGTGTTCTATAGTAAATAGCCAAGCTCTGGAAGCAAGGAAGTGGGCCTGGAAAAGACTGACTTGTGGGGGAGAGGAGGAAGTTCATATAATTCTTTGGTGAAATTCAAATGTAAATTGTTTTTATCACAAAAGATCTGTCAAAGATGCTC